CACATGCACAGCAAAATGAGGCAATCTTCATCTATTTTCTTTTACGTGACTTTTCAATCTGGGAAAATCTTTCTGCATAGTGCATTCTACATATATATTCCAAGAGTATAATGCCTTGATAATACTGTACATCCTTCTCACACAAACTACTGAATGGAATAGCTTTGCCAGGTGCAGACTATTAACAGACTGTTTTAGAAACTGTTAACTCAAAGGAAGCTTTAAAAACCCCACAAATGTGGAATAATTGTCCTTGGCAAAAAACGAAAACAAAAACCCATGCATTATTCTTTAGTATAAAATACACAAAAAGAACACACATCTAATTGTGCAGTGCACTGTAAGTATCTTGCTTCTATTCATTACACTCCACAATTTCCAGATATGCCTATGTTATTTTCTCTAAGCTGACTAATTCCTCTACAACATGACTCTATTTTGCCTGTGTGATCCTGGAAATATGTTTCAAATTGAAGAAGATGATGAACCAAATAAAGTCAGGGGTCTCCAAAGGAGCAACCACAATCTTGAACCCAAAGTATAGGAGGAGACCTTGCATTCAAACAATGACCAAAGGGAAAATGTATCCAAAGGTTCTTTGGGGGTTGATTTCAAAATCCTGTTCTCTAAGTAGAAAGTATCAAATGCACAGAAACCAAAACATTTCATATAAATCTAAGTGGCTGGTGTCAGAGACTACCCATACAACTAGTTCAATAAGATGATAAGATGCTTACAAATGTTACTGTTCCACTATGGAGTGCTGATATGTGCGAAATCATTTTTCAACAGCTTCGTAGGACTTCAGCTGGCTATAGTATTTCAGTCATTCTTCGTCTGGATAAGACTCCCACACATAAAAGATCAAGATCCCCCTTATCCTCTGGTTTGTTTTCTAGCCACTCTAATTTCTTACATTAAAGACTTACTAGCTGGGGTTTATTGAAACTGAAATCCATCACATCTGAAGTGTATAAAGGTGAGTATAGCTCAGGTCCATACGATCTTTTAGAATGACTCCTTGTACATGTATTCGACTGAGATGACTACTGTACATCAAAAATAGGAAACATAGCAAATCTCTACTCTTTCAGCATGTATGCAGAAATTATCTTTCTTTTAGCTTTTTGGAAGTGAAGTCTCTTAGGAAATCACACAGAATCACCATGTGAACAATGCTTCAACTAGGGATACACAAATCTGTCAATGTTGGTTTTTGGCATTCTTCATTTCTGTGAATACGTGAAGTTCAGTTCTTAATTTCCTATTTTATAAATATGTCAGTTTTTTTTTAAACTTGAGAACTTTGGAAAGTTTGTATTAAAGCCTATTTATATTTTGTGTATACTTTTCCATACATGCAATTCTTTCTATTCTATTCAGTTTTTGCTAATATCTTAAATACAATGCATTCTTTCATATATATTGCCTTTTATATATATCTTTTGCTCATATAAATTTTTTTTAATTGCTGTACTGCAAAATTTTAAATTTCTGCCTTGCAAAATTTAGAGATCTGTGGATTTTTACTAACTTTTGCTTTGAGTAGTATTTAAAAATATGAAATTAGGTACATTTGCTTTCAGAAACACATTAACCAAATTTCTCCCACCTCCCTAGTTGAACTAATCACCATGGGTTACAATAAAAATGAGGCAGTATGGGGGCTCTGTAATTTCACCCAAGCTTCTGAAAGCTGAATCTTCAGGTAATTAAACAGCTCCAAGTTTGAGTATAATTTATAATATGGGAGCAAAGTTTTGAATCTTGAGGTTCATGCATCAGTTTAACAGTGATTGCTTATGCACAGTTTACTTAATGAACCAAGTGGTTGAGTATGCACTATATGCTAAGCAAAACTGAAACACATGATCTTAGTGTAATGTGTGGAATCAGCCACTAGATGTTGAAGTACGTCGTTCTCCATTTGTGAATTAAGAGCTTCTATTAGTTCTCATCCAGAATTAAAGAAAAAAAGAGCTTCCTCTCTTCCTCTATAAGTCCTCAAAAGATGACATGCTGCTGCTACCAGGCTAGAAAATAAGTTTTCTGACTGTAAGTATCCATACACATATCTTTCATTAACGCATCTGAGGGCCTGCCAAAGTTTGTGCAACTGGGATTACATTTGGATATCTCTTTAATATGTTCTTTCTTCATCTTTGACAATTACCTAGGCAAGATCTAAAACTGAAATTCATGATGTCAGCGTGAGCACACAATGAGATAGCTTCCATTGGAATAAAGAGTGCAGCAAGCAGGTGGCTATTTCCAGCTCCCAAAAAATAGCCAGATATTTCACAGATTCACTGAATTTCTATTCCCAAGATTTTTTATAGGAGTTTGTCTTCAATAATAGGAAGAACAAGGAAGGTTGCTCAAAGTCAAAATACACAGTATACCACCAATGTCTGATTTTAATATGGCTTAAAAAGAAAAAAAAATCTTTAAAATACCAATAAAACCATGAAAGAATAAACATAAAATCATAAAATCACTAACAGAAGAAACTAAATAACTGTAGTAGTTTAACATACACAACATTGACTATCTCTCTTTCTTTCCATAAAGTCAATCTGCCATCTTGCTGCTGAGTAACATGGCAGAAGCATATTTGATCCTTCTTTGCTATTTTTCTGCTATATATAACACTCTAAAGTTGCTATTTGGCCCCAAAAGTGATACAAACAGAACCCTTAAGTGGTGACAAGTGACTAGAAAATGTTTTGTTTTTAAGGGATCTCAATACTTTTTCTGCATGGCCCCATGTCTCTGGAATGAGTCGTCTGGTATTCATCAGATTTTCAACATTACAAGTTTTGAGGAACATTCTAAAATCTAATTTGTTCTCTTAGCCTTTCATAAAATAGGTTTCATTGTTTGGGGATTTAGCTGCATTTGTGTGTTTGATTTTACTACTGGCTGATGGTTTTAAATTGCTGCATTTATGAAATTTATGGGATTATACTCTTGTAATGGCGATGAAAAGGGTTATCTTAAAGGCAACCTAGCAGTCTAGATTAAAATACAGACATATTAAATAGATAGACAGAAACCAGCCTTTTGCACTCCTTGACACAGGTTGGCAATCAAACCCAGAAGTCCTTCATGAACTACAGCTTCTTGTCTTGTTCAAACTAGAAAATTATGGTTGGTGAAAACTAACAAATCAGAAAACAATGGTTAACATCTGTTACTTCAGACTGGCTTGTTTCCAATTAATAACCACAATTTACCAGTCTAGATGAAACAGGAAATGATTGTTCATTGGAGACTTCTAGGTTTGTTTATTGGTTCAGATAAAGAAAGACAAGAAGTGTAGATGTAGAAGAAGCATTCAATTATGTCTTTGCTTATAAGATACAATGATCTGAAGATTTTAGGTGAAATCATCACTGTGCATAGAACTTCTCCTGGTTTTCATACAGAGCTGCGGGCTTCAGAAATCTCAGAGATGTTTTGTGTGATAGACTGAATATTGTTAGTTTTTAAAATTCCAGTTTTTTCTGAAAACAAACTCAACTGAGTTTCAAACCTTTGTTTTTTAAAAAAATTACATTATTTATATAATGCCAAAACCTTTAAAGTAATTATCATACTTTACTGTTTATTTTAATGATAGAAAAAGTAACAGAAACAAAATAATAGCTATTAAAGGCATCTGTGCCTGTAGGTTTCTGATGGACCAAGAAATAGAATTTGAAGCATAATAGCTACCATTAAGTGCCATTATCATGGTATGGTGAGCTGGAAGAGATGCAACTCAAGTGCACACTCCCAGATGGTCTTTAAAAGGAATTATGCACTTAATTGCTCCAACTGCATGACTCCAGCGTAAACCTTCTATCAAATAATTGGGGTTTCTTGGGTAAATAAATGTGGGAACATAATAATCCATATGCTTTTCTTAAACTCACAGAGCAGCTGAGAGTTTTCCCAAGGAAATGTTAAAGTTGATAAAAAAGACAAAGAAACTCTATACATGTGTGTTTATGTGACCACATGGGAAAAAGGAGAATGAAAAAATATAAGAAAATAAATTAGATCCTAGGAAGAGCACTAATCATGTTCTAACCCAAGACGTCTCAATTATGAGCTTAATTAATTCAATTACTTTTTAAATAGGAATACATTTATTCTTTCCTTGAAAGAAAGCAACATTTTCTTCCATAATACTTCTACCACTTGGGAGGAAAAAAATAAGAAACATCTCAAAATGTTTCCTGTTTAATTATCTAAGACATGAAAGACTTGCCGGACATGTTTTCCTGACACTTCAAAGGGTTTGTTTTTGTATGTTATTTCTCAGAACTGTTTTTAGATTACTAACAGAAAACAATGTTTTCAGGTTAAACTATTGGACTATTTCAGCCTTTTTCAAATAGTGGCCTCCAAATGTGCCTCCTGAACAAGATGGTTAATTTTATGGCCAGCTATAATACTTCTACAGAAAGTTCAGATGCTGAAAAACTGCGATGGAAGAAACCAATACCTTCATAGCTTGCTAGTATATACCTCAGAATTATTTGGTGGCCAATATTGGAAACAGGATACCAGACTAGAGACACCCTCAATCTTATCCAACAGGTTCCTTATATGTTTTTAAAACAAAGACATAACCATCTTCCTCCTCAAAGCAACCTCAACTGTATTCCAGAACAATCCGAAAGTACTGGCAGCCAAATGCAAGATAAAGAGTTAGTGAAAAATAGCTTCTGTCCATAATATTTAACTTAGAGTTCAGGTTTTTTACATCTCAAAACTAAATGTTGAAGAGCTTTTTACTTTTTATGTGTTCATTTTATATCCCACCTTTCTTCCAGAAGCTCAATATGGCTTACATGGGATGATTCTTCATTGCATCTGCAGTCACTGTGGGAAGTAGGTTGGAGTGGGAATGAGTGACTGACTGAAAGTTACCCAGTGAATATGCACAGATGAGGGTGAACTTGATTCTGAATCTAACCCTAACCCTAACCCTTGTCTAATACTTCATCTACCACATCATATTTACTCTCCTTTTCTCATCAACACAGAGTTTTTTTCCAGTGACACTCACCATGGTCATGGGCAAACACAAAAAAGTCGATTCCTGTCAGCATCTTGGCCAAGTCATCATAGCGACAGCAGTGTTCTCCAGCACCATGAACAACGAACACCAGGCCCCTAAATGGAGCATTAACATGGAAAGCATAAAGTTAGTGTCCAGGAAACATACAAACAAGCAAACTGTACTTATTTATAAGTTTTGGTTTAATCTTCAGAATGAAAAAGCTAGCTATTTCTTGGAACACATTTGTTTCTCACAGTCCAACCATCCACAAGACAAGAGCACGCCCTCTATTCTAACTATCAGTTAATAATCTAAGAATCTGTTCTAGATGTGCTCATACAGAACTGGCAGAAATAGCATTTTTAGTAATACCTCTTTTCCTCTGAATGCCTACCTTGCAGAAGCTAATCTGGAGTCTATATTGATATACTTAAGGAATCAGGTAAAAAATTATTTTTATTTCTCCCCCAACTTAAAAGCATTTAAGGTTTTTCCTTTTATTTTTATACTGGTATCATTTTTAATGCTTCATATTGTTAACTGCCCTGGTAACTCTTAGAGATTAAAGGGTGTGGGATATAAATAAAGTAAATAAATAAACAAAGCAAGTGTACTGTCTTAGGGAGACAGATCAAGCTAAGTAGCTAGGAGATTGAATCCAGTTTAATCTGCAGCAGGATATATAGGGCAATGATTAACTAAGGTTCCTTTCTTACCAGTGAAGATACCAAGTGAAATCCATAGTCTTTTCATTAAATTCTGCTTGGGAAGTATTTATTACAACATATTTATAAATATTATGTATTGAAGTAGCTTTTATGTGCTTCATTTAAAAAGATGCACAATAAATTATATAGCGCCTCTCATTAATAAACAATTTAACTACAAAATCACAATCGTAATATCTTCTAAAGATTAAGAATGAAGAAGTAGCTCCAGCAGAGAATTATGGTTCAGTAACACATCCTCCATTCAGAACAAGTGTGAAAATGTGAATAATGTAGAAGTGTGACTCATCCGTCAGGTCATTGCTAGCCCACCACAGCTTTAGCGCCGACAGCCAGGCCTGCAGAACCTGATGCAGTTGTATACTATTATTTTAAAAGTTGGTCCAAACACTGGTGGGAAGAAAACCCACCAAGCAGTTGTATTTGTCAGACCACCCAACTTCCAGGTAAGAAATCCAACATATCTGAAATGTACCAGATAGGGAAGTCTGTGCTAGGGGACTTCCGGGGAAGCAATGGCAGACTGAAGATGGCTCCACAAGAGCAGAGTCGACACCCATGGTGGAAAGAGGAGACAGTGACTAGATCAGCTCCTTGGAATTCCTCTTCGGAGTAAGGAGAGCACCAGGATTGGTTCGCATACTTCCTTTCTTAACCACTTTAGGAAATTGCTTGTTAATGGTTTTTTGGATGTTAAGAATCTTCAGAAGGGCAAGTTTCATTATACTGGGTGAGTTTCCTTCTATCCTTGATGAAAGAAATTTCATGCAAGCTTAAGGACTTTAAATTTTTTAAAACTTATTTTTGAATAAACAGCAAAAGGGTGACTAAAATGTTGATTTTGGAAAGTTATAAATGGATTAAGGGGCCAGATGGACTTGAAATAAGATTCTGAAATTTATTACAAGAATATTTCCTGTGGGTTGTTTAAAATTTTCAAAAAATATATATGAAGATTTTGAAACTAACTATAAGAAACCTTCCCATGGGAAAGTGTTGTTGATTAGAGAAAAAAAACATAAGAGGGGACTTTGAAGGTTGACTACAGGGAACCAGAAAGAACTAAGATTATAATTAAAGGAGAAGAGACCCATTAATACAGAATGGAGTAATATTATTTGACTGTGGAAGAATTCACTCAGAAATTACTCTTAAGATTGTCTGCTATTATAAGAATGGATTCAAAAGAGCAGATTTGACTGAATAAAACAGAGACAGAGGCTGATTTGAATGTGGATCTGAAAATGGATTTAAAAATTTCAGGCTACAAAAATGGTATGGAAAATGTTACACCGGATTTACAAATGAAACCAGCTGATGTCTTAATAATTAAAGGGGACATATAAATAATAAATCAGAAGAGTGACTTGAATAGCTTTCTTATCTTTGATTTACAAAAGAGACGTGTTCACTTGTGAAGGATTTTCTGAAAGGAGACAAAGAGAAAATGATAATAAATCAATTTGTGGGACACTATTTGAAGGGATTAAAGATCAAGATTCTTAAAAGTAAACATAAGGAAATACAAAGTGGGTTTATTTGATCAAGGTTAAAATATATTATGTTGTTGTTTTTGGTAGCTATTAATGGATTTTTCTTGACTAGGTCCAAATGATGAGACTTTAAATATTGTTTATAGATAAGAAATAAGATATTGGAGGAGGAGATTTTTTATTGTGTTTTTAGAGAAAGTTATAAGTTACTGTGCTAAAAGTAAAGGAAAGGAATATGAAACTGATTTATTGGATTAAAGTTAAAATATATACTGTATGTTGTTATTTCTGGTAACTCGTAATGGACTTTTGTTGATTAGGACTGAATGACCAGGCTTTATAATCTGTTCATAGATAAGAGATGAGATATGAGAAGAAGAGAAGTTTTGTTAAAATGTCAGCGAAGGTAGTTAATTATTGAAATTGTCTGTGCTTATCTTGATGAACGGGTAAGTCATTTCTTTATATATCTTTTTTCTTTTTTTCTTTTTATATTTTTCTTAGTTTGTATTAGTTTCTTATCTTTGTATTTTTAAACTTTAATAAAAATTATTATTAAAAATAGGAAGTCTGTGCTAGGACCACAGCTCTGTTCTTCAGGAACTTGTTTTGTTGTTTATTTTCATCTCTAGATACTATGATACTGCTAGAAGACTGTTCTGCTATGTTCCAAGAAGAAACCTGAGCAGGAAATATGTAATGCTTTTACTGTATATGCTGCAATCAAGCTAAGTGTACAAAAGCCTCTTGTGGATATCTGAGCTGAGATGATCTCTGCATGCTTGGAAACAGGTTCTGCATGTATAACCTGCAGCTGCTACTACAGGATGACTGGCAGGCAGTTGACAAATCCTTAAGACTGCAACTTGATGCACATTAGCTTGAGAGTGAGTTCCACTGAATCCAATTTGGAAAATAGGTTCATGACAACCCAATAACCTGATTATGTTTAAGCAAGTGACTGAGCCTAGCAACATAACATCCTACAGATAACACATAATTAGCAGGTTGATTAAGCAATTATAACGAATTTAAATAGGAAAGAAAACAAGTGACCTCCCTTAGCTCACAAAAGAAGCCTTGAAATGGTACCACTGTCTTTTTTTTAGTTTTAGTTTTTGTATTAGTCTGGTCTGAAAAATCAACACAAGAGCCAATTAAAAAAATGTGAGAAACCTCAATAATTATAATTTATTAAACTTGTATGCCGCCTGATTCTCAACAACTCTTGGTGGCTTACAACAATCAAAGACATTACCATAAAATCAATAAAACATAAAAAATAAAGATAAAAGATGGCAAGCATGATGAACTGGGGGGTCTCCCTCTCCCTCACCGAAAGCTTAGGTGAAGAGCTAGAATTTCACAGCTCTTCCAAACAACAGTATCTTTTTTGTTGCCCTTAGATCAGATTTATAGCAAGATGTTTTTGCCCTTGCCTAGTATTGGTAAGAATCTGTCCAGGAAATAGATCATAGAAGTACTTCTAAGTGGAGAGACAGAAGATACTTCCAATCTACTGGACTGTCAAAATTATTAATATTGAAATATGTGGGTTACTGTCTCCTTTTGGCTGAGAGCCAATATTCAAAGAGCCATGTAAAAATGCCTCCATGAGGTGCTAGCTATAATAGGAAGCAATTAGGGATGGACAAAAATGGTCTTTCAAAATTCTCCCCATATTTTGGGGCACAGAAATTGGGTGGATGATTTCTCTGAACTTCTCCAAGGGAAAGGAGAAATTCCACAAACTATCTCAAGGAAGAAATTCCTCAGCAGGGACAGCACCACCACTGCTGAAAAAAATCCATGAGACAAGTTCCTTGTGACATATTTCCTTGGAACCTAAGAGTGGCACAGGAAGCCTGGAACCTGAAGACAGCTGGAGAAATTATTCTACTTTGAAAACCAGGATACACACTTCTTGGCACTTCATCACTAAAAAAAAGTGCAAGAACATCATGCTCTACCCATGAAAATATCTCTGAAATTCTCTCTCTCTCTCTCTTTTTTTTTTGGAAGAATTATTAAAGCAAATTCTCTTTGACTAAAATTCTCTCTTTAGCACTTAAGAGACGCTTACCAGCACAGAGAATTTCCATGCTAAGGCGGTACTACTGGAACCCATCTGTAATTACAAGGTTTTCACACACTATAATAGCCATCATCTCTGTTCAACAATGCACGGCTAGAAGTCTCTAATCTTCCTTCAACAATTGCCTTCTGCAGCTACCAGAGTTCCTAGTTTGGGACAGTTGCTCAAATAGGGTATGCAGGCAACAGTATTTTTCTTCCCCTCATTTTTTTACCCCACTTCCAGCATCTGGCATATAAAAACAAGATGTTGATGAATCTGTAAATTTTTGGTGACTCTTATAGCCATAAATTACTCTTTCTTTATTCCCCTGTAAAAAAAAACAAAAAAAAACCCCTAAATAATTGAAATAATCAGTTAGTACATGACATATTACACATATATAAAAATGACACATGCACATATTGTACTTTTTTGTTATTCACAGAACTACTGCCAATCAGTTTCTCAAGTTCCAGTGTTATGGGAACTCTAGAAAAATGTTTCAGTGTTCTACCTCCCCCTCCCAAGATTACCATATGCCAAAAGAAAGGCCACTAGCAGGATATAGGCGCTATACTTGTGGCGGGGGAGGGGTACGTTGTCATAGAGAATAAGGAAGATGATCTTGACAGAGACAGGTGAGATACATTACCAAAGTGACAAGGGGAAACACATATCTTAAGTCCAAAGCAAGCAGAAAGTATGCAGCAGCAGTTCAGACAGACACCTCCCTAATTCACATGGGTATTAGAAGGGGAGGTGTACAGCACAGACTTGCAAGATTCTGCTATTATAATCTATTTCAATAAAAGTAA